GAGCTTGTTCCACCATTGGGGTGCCAGAGCAGCGAACAGTTTTGACTGGGCTGAGCGGGAGCTATGCTTCCGCAGAGGAAGGGGAGCCAGCAGGCCAGAGGTGGATGAACGCAATGTCCTCGTTTGGGTGTAGGGACTGATCAGAGCCTGAAGGTACAGAGGTGCCGTTCCCCTCACTGCTCCATAGGCAAGCACCATGGTCTTGTAGCGGATGCGAGCTTCAACTGGAAGCCAGTGGAGTGTGCGGAGGAGGGGGGGTGACGTGAGAGAACTTGGGAAGGTTGAACACCAGACGGGCTGCGGCATTCTGGATGAGTTGTAGGGGTTTAATGGCACAGGCAGGGAGCCCAGCCAACAGCGAGTTGCAGTAGTCCAGACGGGAGATGACAAGTGCCTGGACCAGGACCTGCGCCGCTTCCTGTGTAAGGCAGGGTCGCACTCTCCGAATGTTGTAGAGCATGAACCTGCAGGAGCGGGTCACCGCCTTGATGTTGGCGGAGAACGACAGGGTGTTGTCCAGGGTCACGCCTAGGCTCTTCGCACTCTGGGAGGAGGACACAGCGGAGTTGTCAACCGTGATGGCGAGATCATGGAACGGGCAGTCCTTCCCCGGGAGGAAGAGCAGCTCCGTCTTGCCAGGGTTCAGCTTGAGGTGGTGATCCGTCATCCATACTGATATGTCTGCCAGACATGCAGAGATGCGATTCGCCACCTGGTTATCAGAAGGGGGAAAGGAGAAGATTAGTTGTGTATCGTCAGCGTAGCAATGATAGGAGAGACCATGTGAGGATATGACAGAGCCAAGTGACTTGGTGTATAGGGAGAAAAGGAGAGGGCCCAGAACCGATCCCTGGGGGACACCAGTGGTGAGAGCACGTGGTGCGGAGACAGCTTCCCGCCACGCCACTTGGTAGGAGCGACCGGTCAGGTAGGACGCAATCCAGGAGTGAGCCGCGCCGGAGATGCCCATCTCGGAGAGGGTGGAGAGGAGGATCTGATGGTTCACAGTATCAAAGGCAGCAGACAGGTCTAGAAGGACAAGAGCAGAGGAGAGAGAGTTAGCTTTAGCAGTGCGGAGAGTCTCCGTGACACAGAGAAGAGCAGTCTCAGTTGAATGACCAGTCCTGAAACCTGATTGGTTTGGATCAAGAAGGTCATTCTGAGAGAGATAGCAAGAGAGTTGGCTAAAGACGGCACGCTCAATAGTTTTGGAAAGAAAAGAAAGAAGGGATACTGGTCTGTAGTTGTTGACATCAGTGGGGTCGAGTGTTGGTTTTTTGAGAAGGGGAGCAACTCTCGCTCTCTTGAAGACGGAAGGGACATGGCCAGCGGTCAAGGATGAGTTGATCAGCGAGGTGAGGTAGGGGAGAAGGTCACCGGAGATGGTCTGGAGAAGGGAGGAGGGGATGGGGTCAAGCGGGCAGGTTGTTGGGCGGCCTGCAGTCACAAGTCACAGGATTTTATCTGGAGAGAGAGGGGAGAAAGAAGTCAAAGCATAGGGTAGGGCAGTGTGAGCAGGACCAGCAGTGTTATTAGACTTAACAAACGAGGATCGGATGTCGTCAACCTTCTTTTCAAAGTGGTTGACGAAGTCATCCACAGAGAGAGAGGAGGGGGGGGGGGGGGGGAGGAGGATTCAGGAGGGAGGAAAATGTGGCAAAGAGCTTCCTAGGGTTAGAGGCAGATGCTTGGAATTTAGAGTGGTAGAAGGTGGCCTTAGCAGCAGAAACAGATGAAGAAGATGTAGAGAGGAGGGAGTGAAAAGATGCCAGGTCGGTAGGGAGTTTAGTTTTCTTCCATTTCCGCTCCGCTGCCCGGAGCTCTGTTCTGTGAGCTCGCAGTGAGTCATCAAGCCACGGAGCTGGAGGGGAGGACCGAGCCGGCTGGGAGGATAGGGGACACAGAGAGTCAAAGGATGCAGAAAGGGAGGAGAGGAGGGTTGAGGAGGCAGAATCAGGAGATTGGAGGGAGAAGGATTGAGCAGAGGGAAGAGATGATAGGATGGAAGAGGAGAGAGTAGTGGGAGAGAGAGAGCGAAGGTTGCGGCGGCGCATTACCATCTGTGTAGGGGCAGAGTGAGTAGTGTGGGAGGAGAGCGAGAGAGAAAAGGAAACAAAGTAGTGGTCGGAGACTTGGAGGGGAGTTGCAGTGAGATTAGTAGAGGAGCAGCATCTAGTGAAGATGAGGTCAAGCGTATTGCCTGCCTTGTGAGTAGGGGGGGACGGTGAGAGGGTGAGGTCAAAAGAGGAGAGGAGTGGAAAGAAGGAGGCAGAGAGAAATGAGTCAAACGTGGACATAGGGAGGTTGAAATCCCCCAAAACTGTGAGGGGTGAGCCATCCTCAGGAAAGGAACTTATCAAGGCGTCAAGCTCGTTGATGAACTCTCCAAGGGAACCTGGAGGGCGATAGATGACAAGGATATTAAGCTTAAATGGGCTAGTGACTGTGACAGCATGGAATTCAAATGAGGAGATAGACAGATGGGTTAGGGGAAAAATTGAGAATGTCCACTTGGGAGAGATGAGGATTCCTGTACCACCACCCCTCTGACCAGATGCTCTCGGGGTATGCGAGAACACATGGTCAGACGAGGAGAGAGCAGTAGGAGTAGCCGTGTTTTCAGTGGTGATCCATGTTTCCGTCAGCGCCAGGAAGTCGAGGGACTGGAGGTTGGCATAGGCTGGGATGAAGTCAGCTTTGTTGGCAGCAGAACGGCAGTTCCAGAGGCTGCCTGCGACCTGGAACTCCAGGTGAGGGGTCCGTGCCAACAAAGGGTATATAACAAAGTATTGAGAAACTTTTGTTATTGACCAAATACTTATTTTCCACCATAATTTGCAAATAAATTCATTAAAAATCCTACAATGTGATTTTCTGGATTTTTTTTCTCATTTTGTCTGTCATAGTTGACGTGTACCTATGATGAAAATTACAGGCCTCTCTCATCTTTTTAAGTGGGAGAACTTGCACAATTGGTGGCTGACTAAATACTTTTTCCCCCCACTGTATTTCCAAAACAACAGAGGCTAAGTGCTTCGTTGAGGCATGTGTCCATACTGATAGGTTGGACAGAAAGGGAGCGCTGCTCTCAGATCAGCTTTCTCCGTTCAAATCTTACCTTAACATTATAATTATTCCACAATACTGACGACGAATCGGCTCCTACAGAGATATTATAACCTATAATGGCTGCATATTAAGTCAGCTTATTCTAATGCTTACCCTATAATGATGCACTAAATCACAGATTCATTTGGCACATCATTGTGGAAATATTGTTACACATCATGAAATACTGTATATTAAAACAAATACTACAGACAGAGTTGGCTACAAATAGAACTCAATTGACTGAACATTAAATAGATTTTAATATGATTTAAATATGCTTTATATTAGCCTACATAGCCTATAGCCTACTGGATTAATTTCTTAATGCAGTCATCTTGGTTTCTGTTTGAAGCATATTTTTTATCAAATGCAAAGACATTGGCAACTTTATATTTGTAGTCGACTTCGTTCCAAAGTTATTGTCGGTCACAGAGAGACCTATAAACAGTTTGATTCTATGTTTAGTGGAGATTTTCTATGTATAAGGTGACGTGGAAGGGTAAAAAATAATCTAATGACGCGCTTAGCTGTCCTAACCTTAGGATGCTTTTGGGGAACCGGGCCCTGGACCATAGTACCTCCCCTGGAGATAGAAAGTGACAGAGTGAACTGCTCTGTATTTGAGCTGGTCAATTAAATCATTTCAATAGCCAATATCTTTTTGTTTTACAATGTATCTTTCACTAGGCTAGAGCATCCCACAGGACAATTATCAATCAATCAAATATATTTATAAAGCTATTTTTACATCAGCAGATGTCACAAAGTGCTTATACAGAAACCCAGCCTAAAACCCCAAAACGCAGCAATGCAGATGTAAATAATTGTTGAACAGCCACACATCTTCCAACAGGACAATGATCATCCTAATCTCATCATCCAGACCCCTTGCTCTGGCCAAACGCTAGGCCACGCCCACGGACGTTCATTTCTTCTCCACAATGAGTCTGGATCTGAGTACCTCCCCGACGATTTCTAGAACGCAAACACATTCTAACCGTTCTGATTGGTCCCAGAAACCGATGGGTTGGACCAGAGCCAGAACACACAGCGTAAAGCGGCGTTTTGAAAAAATCGTCATTACCGTTGATTATTGGTTAGAGATGATCCAATCGCTGATGACTTTGTTTTGTACAACACCCCTCATTTTGACGTCACCACAAACTACTTCACTGATGGCAGTCTCAGACGGAAGTATGTAGGGAAGATAGTGCAGTGGAAGAATTCAAGTTTGAGTTGTCAGGTTAGGCTTTTAGTGGGCTGGTTCTATTTCATACAATCTGATGTCATTGGAAACAAAATGACCCACTAACCCACTTTACCCAGGCTGCTTTCCACTCAAACTGAATTATACAACAAGTCATGATTGATTCCTATAATAATAATACTGTAAGTACAAACCTTACCAACTAGTTGTATATTAATGGCACTGGGTCTTACATTCCATTGAACTGTATCTTAGAATGCTACAGTATTGACCAGAGGTATTTTAATACAGGGAATAGAACAGTGGAATTTATCTTAGAATGCTACGGGATTGACCTGAGGTATTTAATACAGGGAATAGAACAGTGGAATTTATCTTAGAATGCTACGGTATTGACCTGAGGTATTTAATACAGGGAATAGAACAGTGGAATTTATCTTAGAATGCTACGGTATTGACCAGAGGTATTTAATACAGGGAATAGAACAGTGGAATTTGACTCTGAACTAATCTCTCATTGCTGAGGCAGAGTTTGCTGAACTACTTTTGACCAGGGTTGTTTCCTGTCAGGGTGGATTGTTGTTTTGTTAAGCTGATCAGATGGTATCCATCTCTATCTCTCTGTCCCTGTTTCAGTAAATTATCTACGCAGTAAAGAAGACTGAGCTAAAAATGTCATCCCATGCCCCCTCCCCCCCAGACCAACATAGGGTCTATCCTGGCAGCAGTGAACCCCTATAAGCAGATCCCAGGTCTGTATGACCCAGAAGCAGTAGGCCTGTATAGTAGACACCACCTGGGAGAGCTGCCCCCCCACATCTTCGCTGTGGCCAACGAGTGTTACCGCTGCCTCTGGAAGAGGCACGACAGCCAGTGTGTTCTCATCAGGTCAGTTCACCAGGGGCTTGGGAACCCACATGGCATTAACTAGTAACTAATCACAACAGACTAGAGACTCCAACACACACATAAACACAAACACACACACACAAGTAGTTTAATACATGGTGAACTTGTACTGAACCCCATTTAGTGTATATAGTCATATGTCATGTATATAGTCATATGTCATGTATATAGTCATATGTCATGTATATAGTCATATGTCATGTATATAGTCATATGTCATGTATATAGTCATATGTCATGTATATAGTCATATGTCATGTATATAGTCATATGTCATGTATATAGATAGCTGACATGCGTGTGTCTATCTCCATGTATATAGATAGCTGACATGCGTGTGTCTATCTCCATGTATATAGATAGCTGACATGCGTGTGTGTATCTCCATGTATATAGATAGCTGACATGCGTGTGTCTATCTCCATGTATATAGATAGCTGACATGCGTGTGTCTATCTCCATGTATATAGATAGCTGACATGCGTGTGTCTATCTCCATGTATATAGATAGCTGACATGCGTGTGTCTATCTCCATGTATATAGTCAGCTGATATGCGTGTGTGTATCTCCATGTATATAGTCAGCTGACATGCGTGTGTCTATCTCCATGTATATAGTCAGCTGACATGCGTGTGTCTATCTCCATGTATATAGATAGCTGACATGCGTGTGTCTATCTCCATGTATATAGATAGCTGACATGCGTGTGTCTATCTCCATGTATATAGTCAGCTGACATATCTGTGTGTGTATCTCCATGTATATAGATAGCTGACATGCGTGTGTCTATCTCCAGCGGCGAATCAGGAGCAGGGAAGACTGAGAGTACCAAGCTGCTGCTCCAGTTCCTGTCTGTGATGTCACAGAAGTCTGCCGGGACAGCCCCCTCTAAGAGGAGCACCCGCGGGAGCAGCCATCGTACAGAGCAATGTACCTGATAGCCTCTACGGTAACCCCCTGTATATAGCCTTCTACCGTACCCCCTGTATATGCCTCTACCGGTACCCCTGTATATGCCTCTTACCGGTACCCCCTGTATTAGCCTCTACCGTACCCCCTGTATATACCCTCGGTACCGGTACCCCCTGTATATAGCCTCTCCTGTAGCCCCCTGTATATAGCCTCTCCGTTACCCCCTGTTATGGTCCTCGGTACCGGTACCCCCTGTCATAGCCTCTACCGGTACCCCCTGTATATAGCTCTACCGGTACCCCCTGTATATAGCCTCTACCGGTACCCCCTGTATATAGCCTCGGTACCTGTACCCCCGTATATAGACTCTGTACCGGTACCCCCTGTATATAGCCTCGGTACCGGTACCCCCTGTATATAGCCTCGGTACCGGTACACCCTGTATATAGCCTCTACCGGTACCCCCTGTATATAGCCTCTACCGGTACCCCTGTATATAGCCTCGGTACCGGTACCCCTGTATATAGCCTCTACCGGTACCCCCTGTATATAGCCCCGGTACCGGTACCCCTGTATATAGCCTCTACCGGTACCCCCTGTATATAGCCTCTACCGGTACCCCCTGTATATAGCCTCGGTACCGGTACCCCCTGTATATAGCCTCGGTACCGGTACCCCCTGTATATAGCCTCATTATTGGTATTTTATTGTGTTATTTTATTAACTCTATTTTCTTAAAACTGCTTAGTTGGTTAAGGGCTTGTAAGTAAGCATTTCATGGTAAGCTGTTGTATTTGGCACAAGTGACAAATAAAATGTGATTTGATTTGATTTATTTTTTTATTGATCAATTGTTCAAGCCCAGGTCAATGATGGTCTATCAGTCTATACTGTCTGTCTGTCTGTCCATGATGGTCTGTCTCTCTTTCTGTCCATGATGGTCTGTCTCTTTCTGTCCATGATGGTCTGTCTCTCTTTCTGTCCATGATGGTCTGTCTCTCTGTCGGTCCATGATGGTCTGTCTCTTTCTGTCCATGATGGTCTGTCTCTCTTTCTGTCCATGATGGTCTGTCTCTCTTTCTGTCCATGATGGTCTGTCTCGCTTTCTGTCCATGATGGTCTGTCTCGCTTTCTGTCCATGATGGTCTGTCTCGCTTTCTGTCCATGATGGTCTGTCTCGCTTTCTGTCCATGATGGTCTGTCTCTCTTTCTGTCCATGATGGTCTGTCTCGCTTTCTGTCCATGATGGGTCGTGGATGGGTATTCCAGCATGACAATGACCCAAAACACATGGCCAAGGCAACAAATGAGTGGCTCAAGAAGAAGCACATTAAGGTCCTGGAGTGGCCTAGCCAGTCTCCAGACCTTAATCCCATAGAAAATCTGTGGAGGGAGCTGAAGGCTCGAGTTGCCAAACGTCAGCCTCGAAACCTTAATGACTTGGAGAATATCTGCAAAGAGGACTGGGACAAAATCCCTCCTGAGATGTGTGCAAATCTGGTGGCCAACTACAAGAAACGTCTGACCTCTGTGATTGCCAACAAGGGTTTTGCCACCATGTACTAAGTAATGTTTTGCAGAGGGGTCAAATACTTATTTCCCATGAAGACCAAGGAGCTCTCCAAACAGGTCAGGGACAAAGTTGTGGAGAAGTACAGATCAGGCTTGGGTTATAAAAAAAATATCAGAAACTTTGAACATCCCACAGAGCACCATTTAAATCCATTATTTAAAAAATGGAAAGAATATGGCACCACAACAAACCTGCCAAGAGAGGGCCGCCCACCAAAACTCACAGACCAGGCAAGGAGGGCATTAATCAGAGAGGCAACAAAGAGACCAAAGATAACCCTGAAGGAGCTACAAAGCTCCACAGCGGAGATTGGAGTATCTGTCCATAGGACCACTTTAAGCCGTACACTCCACAGAGCTGGGCTTTACGGAAGAGTAGCCAGAATAAAGCCATTGCTTAAAGAAAAAAATAAGCAAACACGTTTGGTGTTCACCAAAAGGCATGTGGGAGACTCCCCAAACATATGGAAGAAGGTACTCTAGTCAGATGAGACTAAAATTGAGCTTTTTGGCCATCAAGGAAAACGCTATGTCTGGCGCAAACCCAACACCTCTCATCACCCCGAGAACACCATCCCCACAGTGAAGCATGGTGGTGGCAGCATCATGCTGTGGGGATGTTTTTCATCGCCAGGGACTGGGAAACTGGTCAGAATTTAAGGAATGATGTTTCAGTCTTCCAGAGATTTGAGACTGGGGTGGAGGTTCACCTTCCAGCAAGACAATGACCCTAAGCATACTGCTAAAGCAAAACTCAAGTGGTTTAAGTGGAAACATTTAAATGTCTTGGAATAATAATAATAATATAATATGCCATTTAGCAGACGCTTTTATCCAAAGCGACTTACAGTCATGCGTGCATACATTTTTGTGTATGGGTGGTCCCGGGGATCGAACCCACTACCTTGGCGTTACAAGCGCCGTGCTCTACCAGCTGAGCTACAGAGGACCACATGGAATGGCCTAGGAATGGCCTAGTCAAAGCCCAGACCTCAATCCAATTGAGAATATGTGGTTTGACTTAAAGATTGCTGTACACCAGCGGAACCCATCCAACTTGAAGGAGCTGGAGCAGTTTTGCCTTGAAGAATGGGCAAAAATCCCAGTGGCTAGATGTGCCAAGCTTATAGACACATACCCCAAGAGACTTGCAGCTGTAATTGCTGCAAAAGGTGGCTCTACAAAGTATTGACTTTGGGGGGGTAAATAGTTCTGTTTTTTTGTCTTATTTCTTGTTTGTTTCACAATAAAATATATCTTCAAAGTGGTAGGCATGTTGTGTAAATCAAATGATACAAACCCCCCAAAAAATCCAGGTTTTAAGGCAACAAAATAGGAAAAATGCCAAGGGGGGTGAATACTTTCGCAATACTTTCTCTCTCTCTCTCTCTCTCCCGCCAAATGTCTTTTGGCATGGGAAACGTGTGTTAACATTACCAAAGCAAGTGAAATCGAAAATAAACAAAAGTGAAATAAACAATAAATATTAACAGTAAACATTACACTCAGAAGTTCCAAAGGAATAGAGACATTTAAAATGTCATATTATGTATATATACAGTGTTATAATGATGTGCAAATAGTTAAAGTACAAATGGAAAAATAAATAAACATAAATATGGGTTGTATTTACAATGGTGTTTGTTCTTCACTGGTTGCCCTTTTCTTGTGGCAACAGGTCACAAATCTTGCTGCTGTGATGGCACACTGTGGTATTTCACCCAGTAGATATGGGAGTTGATCAAAATTGGATTTGTTTTCAAGTTCTTTGTGGATCTGTTTAATCTGAGGGAAATATGTGTCTCTAATATTGTCATACATTTGGCAGGAGGTTAGGAAGTGCAGCTCAGTTTCCACCTCATTTTGTGGGCAGTGTGCACATAGCCTGTCTTCTCTTGAGAGCCAGGTCTGCCAGGTGAGAGAGGCCACCTGGCAGGTCATATGTCATGTATATAGTCATATGTCATGTATATAGTAATATGTCATGTATATAGTCATATGTCATGTATATAGTCATATGTCATGTATATAGTAATATGTCATGTATATAGTCATATGTCATGTATATAGTCATATGTCATGTATATAGTCATATATATGTATATGGCCTCTCTCAATAGCAAGACTATGCTCACTGAGTCTGTACATAGTCAAAAGCTTTCCTTAATTTTGGGTCAGTGGTCAGGTATTCTGCCACTGTGTACTCTCTGTTTAGGGCCAAATAGCATTCTAGTTTGCTCTGTTTTTTTTGTTAGTTCTTTCCAATGTGTCAAGTAATTCTCTTTTTGTTTTCTAATGATTTGGTTGGGTCTAATTGTGTTGCTGTCCTGGGGCTCTGTGGGGTCTGTTTGTGTTTGTGAACAGAGCCCCAGGACCAGCTTGCTTAGGGGACTCTTCTCCAGGTTAATCTCTCTGTGTCCTCTCTGTATCTCTCTCTCTCTCGTTCTCACTCTCGCTCTCTCTCTCTCGCTCTCCATCTCTTTTTCACCATCTCTCTTTCTCTCTGAGGATTGAATGTTGAAGTACTACTATAGGGTCTTACACCCAGTAAAGGGGATTTTAAAGCCGATGCTCCTCTGTGTGTCAATCCTATTCCGTTCGGAGCTCCAACCAGCTGTCAGTGTTGCTGCAAACCGTGACAGAAAATACATGCCAAATTTTAAAAAGATATGACACCATGGCTAGTCATGGTTTATGTAGATGGTCTGGCAGTCAATAAATATAATTTAAAAGTGAAACCAGTCCTTTCTCTGTCCAGTTTTAACTGAAATTCCCTAACATGAACTTCACTGGCTAGCTAACTAGTGTAGCTCATCCCTAGCTTGGTTAGCTAGCTTGCTAGCTTGATAAAACATGGTTGGCAAATAGGCAACATTTTGGCTAGCTAGCTTAATTGTACAGCCAGTATTTTGTCTATATCGAAGCTGTTACAAAAGAAACAAATAATAATTTATGAAACCGTGATGTGATGTAGGCAGGATGACTATGACAGGATTGTATGTTGTTTCAATTCTGTTTGAATTGCTTTGTGTATCAGAAAAGTTGCTTTAGATGATGTCACTTGCATCTGCAAACAGAAATTGCGTCAAATGCTTTGTGTGACACTGGCTAAAATTCTAAATGATCTATCTCTCTCCTCTACTCTCTGTCTCTCTCGTTCTTCTCCTTTCTTCTTCTTTCTTTCTTTAGTCTTCTTCTTTCTTCTTTCTTTCTTTTTCTTCTTTCTTTTTCTTTTCTATGCTCTGGGGTTGGATGCCGAGGTTTTCATCTTCTTTAATGTTCTCGTCATTGAGTGGCGTTCAGGGTCTTCTGGCTTTTCGTAGTCCTTTCTTTATTCGTATGCTATTACTTCTTACTTGTTTGCTTTCTTTCTTGACTTCTCTTTCTTCCCTTCTTACTCTCTTCTTCTTCTCAGCCCCATCATGAGGCTTTGGGAATGCAAGCG